GAAAGAGTTTTTTGTTGGATTGGAATGAAACTTACTACACAGGTTATATATCATAAGCTAGCAACACGTTGACTTCTATATTCAATCATTTTAAATTTACCATGTAATGTGTCCTTTTTATTGTGACTTATTGTGTAATTTGTGTAATACAAATCAGTCCAAGTGAATCTTACAATCATTTGAGGGAGTATAACATACAGTAAATCTTGGTGAAATCTGCCAAAGGTTAATGTTGAGGCTTCGGCTGAATAAATGGTCCATGGCTGGTGAAGATGGATGCAATCTTGAATTCAAAATTTATTGGGTGATCTCATGGCATCCACATATGGTAGTGATGAACTTTCAACCTTCAACATGAAGACAAGTTCATTCAAGATGAGTGTGATGCTTTCTATCTAAATTTACCGAAAGATGTTACGATTTATATACATTGTTTTAGAGCATTTTTTTTGCCACATGCCTTGGAGTTATGTTTATGTTGTGAGTAAAAAAACACATAGAAGTTCACACTTTGTTGGAATTATCACTGGTACAATGCGTTATCATCTCTGGTTGAGAATGTACTTGGCGAAACGACAGCGAACGCAAATCCTGACGTGAAGGATGTCAAGTAATACAACACACTTCAAAAAAAAAAGCTATGTTTTGCATAATAGGTTATGCTGTTAATTAAAAGAATACTAATTTAAATCTTTTTTTTTAAAAACTGAAATAGGATACATTTCATTATATTATTATAATTATTTCCCAAATAATTAAATAATAAATGAAGTAAGTATGCTTTTGGGAATTTAGATTTCAATGGAAAATACAAATCTATAATTTACACAGCAAGGAATTATCGAACCACTGTGGCCCAGGGAGGATACTAGTCTTTGCATGTGAAGGTTCTACAAGCAGTTATTAGTTGCTTAGTTCATGTTGGAGATCTCTAGAGATGCAGAGCATTGGGCCAAGTCTGAAACGAGTCATCACGTGTTGAAAGAAATAAACGTGTTGCCAGTTCCCATAGACAGTCGGGATCTTGAACTAAGGACGTACTAGGATTGAAGTTTGTAACGTTGAGTTGTTGCTAAAATCTTTTAAGTGGTGAACTTAAAAGAAAGATGGATAATGGACACAAGCACAGCTAATTCTTGAAGTAAAAATATCGGCTGATGCAGATGTAAGGGCATTTACTGGAAAAAGAATGGCATTCTGTATGTTTCTGTGCTGAACACAATAATTAATACCACAGTAGTGAATAATATCAGACACATGTGCACAACTTGCATTTCATCAATCATGTTTAGATTAATGAATGAGGGCCGCGCGTGATTTCGACCACCACAGTAATTTCTTTACAAACTTGAATAATTAACAGTATTTGGCACATGCTGAAATCCTTAAGATCAAACAATTGTTTCCCAAATTTTTGTTGTTGTTGAAGTGTTTTATTTGGTTGGAGAATGGGGGACTTGGAATGAATTCATGGCAAACATTTTATACTAGTGCTTTAAACAGAGCACTAGACTCTAGTAAATCTACTTTCTGATGTAAGATGTTGGTGATTTTATTTTCAAAATGAGCTACGTAATGGAAATCGTCTGGAGGCGAGAGTAAACGAGAATTATGGCGCTTCAATTTCTACATCCAGGTTAAGTGGGGAAAAAAGGTGAAATCAGTTTCCTTCCCATGTGGTAAAACAAGGGCAAACGTTTGTCTGTAGGCAGTTTGCAGTAACGATGGTACATCATTTTTCCTCACTATAAGATGCCATTATTAATATAGCTTGCTATAATGCACAAATCAGGAAGTAATCTTCGCATCGTCAAATGATAAACTACTACCCTGTTCTTTCTCACAGTGGTTGGTATGCAAGTACACTCTCAATGGCTTCAAGGGCCGTCCATGTAATGCTGCAATCTTTATTCATTTCTTCCAATCAGATTACTTTAGGGAGCTTGAACACTATTAGTTTTGAACTGTCCATCAAGAAACGGATATTTTGTCTGCTGCCAAAGGCTCTCGGACTTTTTAGGCTTCTTTCTTATAGTTGCCATAGCAATAAGTGACTAAATGGAATAATGTCAAATGACTGATTGATAACTAAAGTCCATTAGGAGAGGATAAATTAGAGTATCCAAACTATGGGGTTTCCGATGAAAACTTATCATTTCGGAGGTTATCTTTAACAACTTGTACCTCACTGTGTACGTTTTTTATGCCTCGGCAGAGGTTGTAGGTCAAATTGTTTTCCAATCTGAATGTGTGTAGTTATAAATCATGCCGTTATTATTAACATGTACAAAATGTGAGAACTCAAATCTGATAATCAGGATGAGGATGATGACCATAATCATAACGAGCACCATAACAACTTGTTCCTGTACAATTATGTCTGCCAGTCATCTATGAGGGGCTTCAAATAGCAGCTTTTCTTGCAGTCTGAAGTTTTTATTTTTTAAAGTTGTTATATCTTGTCTGAGAATCATCATTCATTAATGAGCGTGTCCGTTGCTACTTATATATTTATATACTAGAATAGCATTGATCAAATATAATTATGCAAAATGAGAAGTATATATATGCTGCACCGAGTGTGGGCTGTTGTTGTATTTCTCGTCGCGCCGCTGATAGTGCACATCTCTCATGTTTTGGGTCGTATTGTTGATTATCGGTACTCATGAATAATTCATTACATTATGTAAGGATGTGTGACGTGGTATACTTGTATGTCTGTTCCTCAAATGCTATTAGTCTTCTCAAAACATCACTGTAGTTTCCTCTTCGCCTGCTACATGTACAAAGCATGAAGTTATTGTTACGGTAATTATGACACAATTTTTTTTCTTGTGCCCTGGGTAGCATACTTAACAGGCTTGGCAGGTTTTGAGTATCATATCACAGCCTACAAGCATTCAATTTGTTTTAGAGATAATGACAGCTTATAGCCGGTCACTCAGAAAGACTTGTAATGTTCATTGGGTATAATGCCGCTGTAAATACTGAAATGGGCAATAACAAATGATCCTGCCCTTGAACCTGAAGCTTCACTTTATAATGTGAAACCTGTCATAAAAAAACTGATTCAATTTGAAGATGTATAAAGAGCTCTATAATTTATGTAAAAGGTGTGTGGTTTAGACCACGGCTGTATGGTATATACATGTAAAATTTTAAAATAAGTGGAGGTTGTTTATAGTTTGTACCTCCATCTCCCTTCTATGCAGTATGTGTATCTCGTAAATAATTTAACTCCTCTCTGCTCCCCTTTTTTCTCTCATTTGAGGATCGTTTTAGTTTTTGTAAAGCGTGAAATTGGCATGTATGATCGGTAGACAATCCGTCTCAGTCACTTGATCATGTGAGCTGTAAAGATATCCTTTCTTGGATTCAGGGTCTTTGTTTTCAAAGTGACGTTTCTTGCATCCTCTAATACTCACTTTCGATAGGTCTTCGTCAAACATGCATCAATTTTTCTTCTTTTTTTTTAAACTTGGAAATTGAATCAGAATTGTTTGAGAATGAATTAATATTTAGCGCAAGAGTTGACACATTGCTGTATATCATAACTTATGAAAGTGGGAGGGGTTAATGTAATGTTTCTGTACCGCCCATGTGGGTTGTGCTAAGTATAGTATTTCATATTTACAGTAATGTAATGTCAGTGTTTGACGTCATTATCATTTATCATTTATATCAGCGTGTACATGTATAATTGAAAGGCAGGAATATTTTGGTTGCATTTATCATCCGGCTCCTCTTGTCAGCTGTTTTGATGATCTGATTTCACTGCTTGCACACTTCATTCATTTCAGAACCAATCAAGTGAAAATTTTCGCCCATGGATAGGAACGGGAGTTCCTTTACGCATTGTAAATCAGTTTAAAAGATTAGGCTCATTGTCAGCCGCCAAACTCTTAAGAGTATTTTCGTTTTCATTTGGACAAGGTTTAAAGTAAAGTGCAGGAACTACGTGGTGATCTTTTCCTAGCTAGTCTGTGGTGGCTAAAGTTTTCCTAAATGATTCCCAGTGTATGGCTACAAATAGCAAAAATTCAATGGTTTCTGTAAGGTAAGATCTCTCTTCAACTAAGTTGTGTATTCTCTTGTACTGATAAATTGATAATAATATTCCGTTTTTCTTATTTTGTAGAAACTCTGAGAAGAGAAAAGAGAAGTCAAGAGATGCAGCCAGATTTCGACGTAGCAAGGAAACGGAAATTTTCTATGAGTTGGCCCATGAGTTGCCCTTACCGCACAATGTGTGCGCACAGCTGGATAAAGCTGCCATTATGAGGCTTGCAATAAGTTTTTTAAAGATGAGAAGTCTTATAGGAGATGTAGTAACTAATCGCCCAGGTAAGGTTGCTTGGTTGGTTGGTTTTTTGAGAGTGTCACTGTATTTGTGCTGTCATGGTGTCTGTGTGCATTGAGGCATTTGGTGTTAAGAGCGATTCAATCAGTCATGTCTATAAGAGTTCTCTTGTAGCTGTGTTAAAGATTGAACATCAGTATTTTGGGGCACCGATCTTTGAAATTGTGAAGACAATATGTGACTAATATCAAGGCTTGGGCATCTGGGCAATGGATGTTGAGTCCTCCATGAATTTAGAGCCCTGCTATGTGTTGTTCTGAGATATCTTCCTCCAGTATCGCATGTGTTGAAATTTCTGGTGGTGGTACATATTCTTTTTGATCTTCATTTTAAGGTCTCCATCTTTATAGCTATCAATGACCATCACTCCAAATTATGATTTGCTGTTCGATAAGTGCTCAGCGGGAAACTGAACACTGCTTGAAACTTGTAAACAATAATTTGCCTTCTGCATACCTGTAAAAACCAACATGCTTTCAATATAGAAAATACTATATGCAAATTTTAGCTTGAATCCTCTGTGATCACTTCTGTGATTCCTAATGTTTTATTCTGTACTGGCGAGATAATATTGGTTCATGGTACCATTCTCTATACTGTGTTTCCTTGTCACAATATTTGATTATATTTTGATCAGTGGAAACAGCTTTGATTTGCTTTTGTTTTTTCGATTATCAAGTTCAATGAAATCTAGAAAACACAGAACCTGAAAATGTGATACATAGTTCTTTCATAGCTGTGAGTTGCCCTGAAATGGGAATATTTGTGTGGCCTGCATGAATTTTGTCTCTTGTACATTTAGCTGAAATTACACGCGTTTATAAATTGTGGCTGCATACCTTTAAAATAAATCTGTAAGCATTTAGCTTTCTTACATAAAACAAATATATTT